ACAGGACTGGAGAAAGGCTTATTAACTGCCTGCAATATGCAGAGGATACAACCTTGCTTGCTGAACGCTGAGAGGTTTTGAAGCACTTGCTGATGAAGATCAGTGATGACAGCCTTCGGTGTCAATTACAGCTCAATGTAAAAGAAATCAAAATTCATACAACTGAACCTATGGATAACATCATGACATATGGAGAAAAGATTGAAGTTATCAATAATTTTATTTTCCTTGGATCCACAGTGTATGCTCATGGAAGCAGCAGTCAAGAAATCAAATGGTGTATTGCATGAGGCAGATCTGCACAAGACTTTTTTAACATGTTGACAATCAAGGCTGTTACGTTGAAGAGCAAAGTGTGCCATGGATTTCAGTCACTTTATGTGCATGTGAAAGCTGGACAGTTGCATCAGGAAGACCTGCAGAAGCACTGATGAAAACACCCACAGACTGCCAGCAGAACAAACCGGATGCCTTGGGAGAAGAAGCACAGCCAGGATGCGCTTTGGAAGCGGAATTGCAAGACTTCACCTCACATACTTGGGGCATGTTGTCAGCAGAGACCAGTCCCTTGAGAAGGACATCATGCGTGGTAAAGTGGAATGTCAGCCAAACAGAGGAAAGCAATCACGGATTGGTACTGTGGCAGTGTTGGGTTCAAACATAACAACTGTGAGGGTGGTGCAGGACTGGGCCGTGTGATGTTCTGTTGTGCTTTGGGTCCCTATGAGTTGGAACCAACTCAGGGGCACCTAACAGAGGGAGAGAGGGGGTGGGAGAGCATAGTGGCTGGTAGCAGTGGGTTATGTGTTTCACTGCTAATCGCAAGGCCAGCAGTTTGAACCTGCTAGACACTCTGAGGTCTGCTCTTATCAAGATTCACAGCCTCAGACTCCAAGGGGGTAGTTCTAAGTTCTACTCTCTCCTATAGGGCCACGAGTTAAAATCCACTCAATGATAGTGGGTGTTTGGGTGCCCCTTATTTCAAAGAGACTCATTATTTCACACTCAGAATGGGTTAGGTGTTTTGCACTTAGATTAGCTCACTTATTTCTCCTAACAATGTATGAACTGGGAATTACCCACCCACTGCCAGTGAATTGATTCCAACTCATGTTGACCCTATAGGACAGAGTAGAATTTCTGAGACGGAAAATCTTTCAGGGGGCAGGCAGCTTCCTCCGTCTTCTGAGGAGCAGTCAGTGCATTTGAATCACTGACTTTGTGGTTAGTAGCGCCATGCTCAACCCACAGTGCCACCAGTTCTCCTTGAGATAACAATGGTGGTTATTGTAAGGTGCTGTTGAGACAGTCCCTACTCACAGCGACCCCATGTTCAGCAGAAGCAAACACTGTCTAGTCGAGTGTTGTCCTCTCAATTGTTCTTATGTTTGAGCCCATCCGTGCAGCCACCAGGTCAATCCATCTTGTCCAGGTTTTCTTCTCTTTTGTTGCCCCAGTCCTTTATCAAGCATGATGTTCTTCTCCAGGGACTGGTGTCTCCTGACAACGTGTATGACAAAGTACATGAGGTCGAGTCTCGCCATGCTTGCTTCTCGGGAGCATTTTGGCTGTACGTTTTCCAAGACAGAGTTGTTTGTTCTCTGGCAGTCCAGGGTACTTCAGTATTCCTCGCCATCGCCATAATTCAAGTGCACAGACACTTCTTTGGTCTTCTTTATTCAATATCCAACTTTCACATGCAGGTGAGGAGATTGAAAATACCATGGCCATACATTGCTCATTGTGATTGTTTCCCCCTAACTCTCCCCCCCCCCCACTTCTAGTATCACTGCTCCCCTTATTGGTCCTGAGGGTTTATCTGTTCTGAATTCCCTGTGTTGCGAGCTCTTACCTGGACCAGTATACATGTTCTGGTCTAGCCAGATTTGTAAGATAGAATTGGGGTCATGGTAGGGGGTGGGGGGAGGAAGCATTAGAGAACTAGAGAAAGACTGTGTGTTTCATTGGTGCTGTACTGCACTCTGACTGCCTGGTATCTTCCTGTGACCCTTCTGTAAGGGGATGGCCAATTGTCTACTGATGGGCTTTGGGTCTCCACTCCATATTCCCCCTCATTCACATTTATTTAATTTTTGTTCTGGGTCTTTGATGCCTGCTCCCTGATCCCATTGACACCTCATGATCACACAGGCTGGTGTGCTTCTTCCATGTGGACTTTCTTGCTTCTCAGCTAAATGGCCCCTTCAAGCCTTTAAGACACCTCCCCCCCCCTCCCCCATGCTATATCTTTTGATAGCTGGGCAGCATCAGCTTTCTTCACCACATTTGCTTATGCACCCATTTGTCTTCAGCGATCCTGTCAGGGAAGGCGAACATCACAAAGTGCCATGTTAGTAGACCAAATTGTTCTTTTGTTGAAGGAGTACTTGAGTAGAACCCCAGTGTCCACCTGTTACCAAAATACTTTATAAATAAATATATGTACATAGCTCTATCCCCATCATTGTATATAAATGTATTTACATATATACATGCCTGTATTTAGATTTCTGTAAATGTTCTATACCTCCCAGTTCTTTCCTCTATTTCCTTTAACTTCCTCCCATCCCACTATCATGTTCGGCCTTCATTCGGGTTTTGGTAATTCCTCATGGCTACAGGGACGGACAGCAGAAAAGTGGGTGGGGAAAAAAAGAATTTATAAATTATCAAGGGGGCATGAGGGAGGGAAGGAGCTGATGCCAGGGGCTCAAGCAGAAAGAAAATGTTTTGAAAAAGATGATGACAATATATGTACAGATGTGTTTGACAAAATGGTTATATGTATGGATTGTGATAAGAGCTGTAAGAGCCCCCAATAAAATTAAAGTAAAATTTTAACAAAAGAAAATACCATGGCTTGGCTTAGGCACACTTTAATCATCAAGGTAGCATTCTTGCTTTTCAACACTTTATAAAGAGGTCTTGTACAGCATATTTACCCAGTACAATGTGTGATTGAATATCTTGACTTCTACTTCCATGAGCACTGATTGTTGATCCAAGCAAGACGAAATCCTTGACAACTTCAAACTTTCCTCCATTTATCTGGATATTTCCTATTTATCCAGTTGTGAGGAGTTTGATCTTCTTTACATTGAGTCGTAATTCATACCGAAGGCTGCGATCCTGGGTCATCAGCAAGTGCTTCAGGTCCTCCTCATTTTCAGCAAGCAAGCATATCAGAGGTTGTTCATAAGCCCTCCTCCAATCCTGATGCCACATTCTTCCTCATATCATCCAGCTTCTCGGATTTGCTCAGCCCACAGATTGAAACCTACGGTGAGAGGAGACCACCCTGATGCACAGCTTTCCTGATTTTAAACCATGCAATGTGCTCTTGTTCTGTCGCACAACTTCGTGCTCCCCGTGCAGACTCGGATGGTTACAATGTAGTATTCTGAGATTCCCGTCCTTCTCAAGGCTGTCCATAGTTTGTTATGGTCCACCCGGTCCAAAGCCTTAGCACAGTCAATAAAGCACACGTATTCTGGTATTCACAGCAACAATCAAAGGGATAACTAAAACATTTAGCAACTCACATGACACACTGTGGAGGCTGCAGTTCTCACACGAGCACATGAAAACGACTGGCCATGTGGTGGATGACTGTAGACTGTAAGGGTCCACACTGTACTGGCATTTGACCTGTGAGTACAGGGTTACCCTCTCCCTTCTTGTCACCCAGACCCTCTACAATAGAGAGTAGTGGCGATGAAGACCCAAAGGGACAGTTTGTGGCAGGGCTTTGAACAGATTGTTTAGCCGCTGGTTCTGAAGCAGTTAACCATTTTAACGAGTGATGGGACAGCACTGGTTGTTCTAACAGTAACTTCTGGCCAAGAACTGAGAGTGCATCTGAGGCTGAACTTTATGGAGAAGCTAATGCATACACAAAAATACAGCGGGATGAGCCCAGTTTCTGAAGAGAAGGCGTAATTCCACCTAGTCCTTGTCCACAGTCCTTCCACCTGGCTGCCTCCTAAAACCCTCTGCATTTGTTCTCTTGTCCGATTTGGCATTTGTTGGGTCGAATATTCAGGTATTCATGACAGGTATTCATGACTCACTGTTCAGCCTGGTCATTCTGTATGCTCAGGTTGAACTTTGCACGTGGGCTCTTTGGAACTTGGCTCCTTTTCTGGCTGTCATCATCTATTGAACCTACCTGCTTTTGTCTTTTTGTCTGGCTTTTATCTTTCACCCATGTTCTCTGGCTTTGGCTCCAGGGAAATAATTTAAAGAGTCAAATAATATTACAGATGTATAATGAAAAACATCAGTTTCTGCACAGCCCACTCTCATTTCACCCTTTGCTTTTCCCCAGAATCACCTGCTTTATATTTTTTTGAGCATTTTCTTTTGGAGTTGACCTTTCAGTTACTGACTGTGCTAGTCTGGGCTGACTAGAGAAACAAATCCAGAGACACTCATATGTGTGTAAGAGAGAGTTTTATATCCAAGAGTAATTGCCTGTTAAGAAAACACCCCGGCCCAGTCCAGATCAAGCCCATAAGTTTAATATTAGCCCATGAGTCTGATATTTTCCCACATATCTGATATTAGTCCATAAATTCTTCTACAGACTCACGCAGCACATGCAATGATGCCGAAAGCAGGAAGGTCACGGGCCAGTGGGTGAAAAGTCTTGTGGGAGCAGCTCAGTGCTGGCGCGGCTCTCCATGATGCTCCTCCAGCTTCAGGGCTGTGGCTCCATCAGCATGGCTCCATCTGGCTTGTCAACAGAATGTCAAGCAGAGAGGGTATGTGTTCCAGGGAGGAAGACAGGAGTTCCCAGAATCCTCAGGAGAAGGCCATGCCCACACAGAGGCATCATTGGCTATAACCTGATTGACAGGCTAGACTCCACCCCTTCACTCAAGTTGACAGGAGATTATGTAACTGACACACCTACTTTAGCTGCCTAGCGAACTATTTTTTAAAAAATTTTTATTAAATACTTTTATTGGGGGCTCGTATGCATAGTCTCTCTCTTTCAGGGCTTTCCTCTTTGGGGGCACCTCCGTCAGGGTGGTCAGACTTTTTACAGTGCAACTAAGGGCCAAGGGGGTGAACACAAAGAGTGAGGCCTATAAGACTGAGACGCTGAAGTTACTCTCTTGCCACACTGACCACATCCCATTGGTCAAACCAAGGAGATGGGTCCCAAAGAAGGGGAATGCCTATTTCCCTTTTGATGAGAGGAATGGCTGGCTGGTGGAGGAATGGGAACAATGTAGGCCATCTACCATAACCCCATATCTATCTCACTTGATGGTACTCTTACTTGATGTTTACATTTGTTTCTTGGCCTTAGGCATTATATATAGAGCCTTCAAAGTAATGACATTAAGAAAGAGTGGAATTTCCCTGGAACTTTTTGAAGCCTTCTCCATATTGACTTTCCTTTATAGCAGCTGTGGGTTTTCTTCTTTTTTCTTCTACTTCTACTTTAACAGCCTTCACGGACACCTCCTGCTCCCCAGTGCAGTGACAACATAATCGTGATTAAATCAATATTCCGTGTTTATATTATTACGGCCTCAGAAATTTTAGTCACTGCTGACTCCAATTTCTTTGTTGCACAACGTTTTGTTTTGCCTAGAGCTAATAATCTTTCTTGCACTTGTATTTGTTTCGCTTGCTGTGTATACATCATAATTCATCCCCAAAGTCTCTTCCAGTTTTCTGAATCTCTACCCAGTGTGTTTCCCCTTACTAGATGTTACCTCCTTGTCATCTTCTTGAAGAAACCTTTCCTGGAACCTCCTGAGCCACCTGGTCTGGAATGCTGCAAAGTGACATCCTGACCTCTCAGTAGCCCCTCATCCTGGGGATTTCCCTCCCTTGATTGGAGCTCCTACTTTCAGCATGTCTTCTGGGTTTACTCCTTTATTTTAATGGGACACCCTCTGCAGTAACGTCTTGGAAAAGTTTTATATGGGGGAACATTGTTGGGGTATTCTGCAGGTCTGAAAACATCTCTATTCTACCTGCCTAATGAATTGAGAGTGATCTAGGCTGGGAATATTTCTCCCTCCAAAATTGAAAAACATTGCTCTGTTTTCTTTTACAAGCTTTTAGGATTTTCCTTTTGTCCTTAGTGTGATAAAAGTTTAACAATGATGGGCCTTGGAAAACATCTCTTTCCAATTTTTTTCTGTCTAATCTTTTAAAAAATTATTATTCATTTTATTGGGAGTTCTTACAGATAGTATAACAATCCATCATTCAGTTAGATCAAGCACAATTGCCACCACCATCATTTTATTTTCTTTCTTTTAAAAAAAATCATTTTATTGGGGGCTCTTACTGCTCTTACCACAATCCATCCATCTATCCATCCATCCATTGTGTCAAGCACATTTGTACATATGTGGCCATCATCATTCCCAAACATGTTCTTTCTACTTCAGCCCTTGATATCAGCTCCTCATCCCCCCATCTCTTTCCAATTTTGTTACGGCCGGTGATGGGTCCTTTCTTTCTGGAAACTTGGTTCTTCAAAAACTAGTGTTCAAACAAGTGAACCAAAATTGGTGGTGAGGAGGGTGTAAGAGGCCTGGTAGGGCTAGATCATGGGCAATGTAACTGAGAGTAATTACTGAAACTCAAATGAAGGCTGAGCATAATAGTGGGACAAGAGGAAAGAACTAGGAGGCAAAGGGCATTTATAGAGGTCTAAATACAGGCATGTACATATGTAAATATATTTATGATGATGGGAGGAATAGATCTATGTGCATATATGTATAGGTTTAGTATTAAGGCAGCAGATGGACATTGGGCCTTTACTCAAGTACTCCCTGAATGCAAGAATACTTTGTTCTATTAAACTGACATTCCATGATACTCACCTTCCTGTTACGATCGCTGAAGACAAAGTAGGTGCATAAGCAAATGTGGTGAAGAAAGCTGACGGTGCCCAGCTATGAAAAGATATAGCATCTGGGGTCTTAAAGGCTTTAAGGTAAACAAGTGGCCATCTAGCTCAGAAGCAACAAAGCCCACATGGAAGAAGCACACCAGACTGTGATCACGAAGTGTTGATGGGATCAGTTAATCAGGCATCAAAGAACAAAAAAATCATATCATTGTGAATGAGGGGAAGTGCAGAGTGGAGACTCAAAGCCCATCTGTAGGCAACTGGACATCCCCTTACAGAAAGGTTTCAGGGAGGAGATGAGCCAGTCAGGGTGCAGTGCAGCAACGATGAAACATCCAACTTTCCTCTAGTTCTTTAATGCTTCCACCCCCTCCCCTATCATGATTCCAGTTTTACCTTACAAATCTGGCTAGACCAAAGGATGTACACTGGTACAGATAGGAACTGGAAACACACGGAATCCAGGACAGATAAACCCCTCAGGACCAGTGGTGGGAGTGGCGATACCGGGAGGGTGGAGGGAAGGTGGAGTAGAAAGGGGGAACTGAATACAAGGATCTACATATAACCCCTTCCCTGGGGGATGGACAACAGAAAAGTGGGTGAAGGGAGACGTTAGACAGTATAAGACATGACAAAATAATAATAATTTATAAATCATCAAGGGTTCATGAGGGAAGGGGCACAGGGCGGGAGGGGAAAAACTGAGGAGCTGATACCAAGGGCTCAAGTAGAAAGCAAATGTTTTGAGAATGATGAGGGCAACAAATGTACAGATGTGCTTGACATAATGGATGTATGGATGGATTGTGATAAGAGTTGTACGAGCCCCCAGTAAAATGATAAAAAAACAACTAGTGTTCAACATTTCCTCTGAAGGCACTCTCCTATTTTTAATTCTCTCCCCCCCCCAATATTTATTATTTGAATATTGGGCCCCTGAATGATTCTCAGGTTTTTTCCTCTCGTGTTTATCCTGTTTATTTACCTTAAAAAATACTTTCTGGATTCTTTCAGTTTGTTAACTCTTTCTCTGAAGCTCTTATTATTATTATTTCTGTGATTATATTTCCCCCCCTAAGAATTCCTTCTTTTTCTCCAGTGCTGCTGCTGCTTAAAATAAAAATAAAAAAGCATCTTACTCTTATTTTAAGGGAGCCCTGGTGGTGTAGGGGTTATGTATTGGGCTGTGATCCGAAGGTTGGCAGTTTGAAACCACCAGGTGCTCCTTGGGAGAAAGAGGGATGATCTACTCACGTGAACAGTCTCAGAAACTCACTACAGGGGCAGGCCTTCCCTGTTCTATCGGGTCGCTGTGAGTTGGCATCAACTTTATGGTGTGAGTTCTGTTCTTATTTTATGGATTCGTTAGCTTATCACAGTAAAGATGCTAATGGCGGGGTCCTGTTCTGTAGTAACATTTTTGTCTCCCTCTAGAGAGTGTATTGCTTTTGTTGTATTGTGTGCACTTGATCCCGGGTGTCTCTCCCACGGGGTTTCCTAGGCTGTAATGACGTGAGTAGATCGGTCACTGGGTCTTTCCTCCCACAGACACTCAGGGGTTCTAACCTCATACTTTTCAGTTAGCATGTGAGCAGCTGGCCATGTGTCACCAGGACTCCTCTGTCTAATGTGTGTTTCCTTCAAGTGGTTTTATTTGGCTTCCTTATTTTTATCTTTGTCTTTTTATCCTGGAGGCTTATGTCGGATCCTTGGCTGTCTGCTCGTATTTAAGAGTAGAACATTACAAAATTAGTTAGAAACTCAGGAACCCTGGTGGCATAGTGGGTGCCCTGTTGGGCAGCCTCGGCATCCCACGGAGGCAGTGCAGCTTGGTCCTCTAGGGCTGCGGGGAGTTGGCGTCGACTCAGTGGCAGCGAGCTTTGTTTTCATTTTGTGTTGCTGGGTTTGGGCCACCGTGACTAAGCGGATCTGGCTGGGCTGTTCCATTGGTGAGCGCCTTGCCCCACGGTTGTCATTGTTTTCTCTCTCAGGTGGTCATCTTCCCCAGAGAGTCCTTCGCTTGAGGGTCCCTGGACTGACTGAGTGGGAGAAGACCAGTGCCCCAGGGTCTTAGCACTCAGAATGTCACCTGTTACCCTCTCCCCCTCATTCCACATACTTCCAACTATCTCAGCTACTTGTGGTGTTTGCTGGACAAGAGACCTCGGTTTACCCTCTCCAAATAATAAACCTTTGATCGCCTGTCTTATTTCTGACGTTATGGGTTTTCCTAAGATATATTTCATATTGATGATGTCATACAATGTGTGGGCTCTTTGTGACTAACTACTTTCACTTAATGTAATGTTTCAAGGTTCTTCCATGTTGTAGCATGTATTATATTTCGTTTTTTTCTCGTATTGAGCAGTATTCCATTGTGTGGTATGGAAATACTGACATTTATTTACCCATTCAAAGAATCCTAATAGTGCAATAATTAAAATTCTAGGCTGTTAAGTAGAAGTTTTTTGTGTTTTTTTTTCTAACAGTTTAATTGGCACTTCATCCACATATCATACAATTCTGTAGTTCAATCATATCAAGAAGAGTTGTATGATCACTACCACAATCAATTTTAGAATATTTTATTCTTCCTTGGATTCATTGTTATTCATGTAATTATTATGATTTAATGTTGGCAAAACTATACACAACAAAACATTTTCTGATTCAACAACTTCTACATGAATAATTCAGTGCCATTGATTATATTCTTCATGCTGTACAATCATTATTGATATCCTTTCCCAAATTATTCCACCACATTTAAAATAAATTCAGTACCCCCTAAGCAAAAATCTTCCTCCGTCACCCATGGTAACCATTGGTCAAGGTTGGTTTTTTTCTTTTTTCTTTTATTATTATTATTATTCTTTATTATTTTCTTGAAATAATATTCACATATCATATACTTCCATAGTTAAACTGCTTTTCTTTACATTTTTCACAGTTCTCTTGGCACTTCATTCACATGTCATACACGAAATCACTTTTATAAAGAGTGTATGTATATCATCATAATCAGTTCTAGTGCTCCCCACCCCCTTCTGCACTCACAATTTCCTTCACCCACCCCCACCCCTCAAACCCCGCCCCTGATAAACCATTGCATCAGTTATTGCTTCTATGTATCCATTCCTTCTGGGCTTCATAAATTGGGAAACGGAAACAATTAAAAAAATGAAACAAAGAAAAAAAATCATAGTAATACAAAAATTAAAAACAAAAATAAACAGTAAAGAAAAAAAAATCCACCAAAAATATTTTTAAAATCCAGAGAAGAAATTTCTGTTGTGGAACAGCGAGAAATAGTTGATCCTCCCATGGTTCGATCCACCGTAATCATG